GAACATTAGATCTGCTGCAGCCGCAAGGTGACGTCTCTAAGCTTGCTTCGGAGTTTGGATCCGAACAAAGTTGGTTGAGTGTTTCCGGCGCAGTCCGGTCTGGGCTGGGATTCAATGAACCCGGTCAGCTTGGGATGAAGACCCTGAAGCTTCTATGAGCTATCCCTGGAAGCTCTGTGCAGCTCATGTTTGAAAGATCTCATAGACAAGACGATTTTTGGTCAATCTAGGTTGGCCGACCGCAACAGAGTCCACATCACGATTTGTTTCGGCGCCGGCTTAAGAGATGTTGAGTTGTTGCGTACTACGATTCTGTCCCGAGTCAAGGTTCCCAATGGTGACATGATCAAAGTTTAGACTGTCAAATTGCTCAGACTCAACCTACCTTGGCATAGAGCACTGACACTACCCGATTTTGTCGCTTTCAGTAATCGATCCCGAAGCAGTTCTTGCCAACCTCGGTTTCCGTTCAGCCCATCTCTCAATTATGCTTTTCATCTAAGATGGCTGTTACATTGACGTACTAAATAGAAATTTTCAGAACTTTATTAGTCCGTTCAACGTACTCAAGCACTGGTGCGGAACAGCTCTGCGCTTTTGTCTTCCGATACTTCGAGTCGCAAAGAGTGCACCAGACCATGCTCAAAACATTGTAGCAGGAGCGCGAGTTGTCATGTCTCACTGAGGAGCTTCACCTACCACACTCATTGACAAAATGCGATTCTGACAACTTGATCTTAGGTGACGTAGGTACGGAGTTGTAATGAGATGAGACAATGCGATTGAGTTGAGAGCGGACCCCAAACAGCCTGGCGGCAAACGACGCCGTTGCTTACGTGCACGTCACGGGGTGGTGCCCTAGAACCTGAATTCCATGTTACGGTACGGGTACGGAAACTTGTACATGGACGAAGGGAAAATAATAACTTGACAACGATAGTTGTAACGTACAATGCCATTTCATTAGAACTTGGCTCGTTCTTGAAAGAGGCCGGACGCAGAATGCTCCGCGCAAAAACATAACCTTTCTTAGCCAACAAGGCCGAATGCAAAACCGCCCTATTCCTAAAGTTTTTGGGCCCTGAGCATTGTTTAGATCCCATTTCTTCTGAATGTAGTCTTACGAAAAGTTCGAGTCGTGAGTCATGAATACACCACATGCAAGCATGCACGGGTATCCAGACTTATGCTCGACGTTATGTTGGATTGGACCAAACAATCGACCTTTAGTACTTAACCACGTGTGCCATTCTACTGTTCATGTCAAATTTTGGAGAGAAGCCAATGACTTTCTAGAAAGAATCCCATAAAAAGTAATGGTAGCTTTCATGGCTGACATTTCTATACTCTTCACGGTTGAGTTTCCTTTGGCATTCAATGGCAGCTTCCCTTCATGTTTACAGCCTACCTTGGTATATTATGTTCAATACCCTATTTACTGTATAAGTCTACAGGTCAAATCTAATATAGCGTGGAGATAAAGCTTCTCGCCTTGGACCTTTATTTGCATAATTTAAGAAACGCATTGAAATTGGGCCGAAGGCTGCTTAACGTGCATCTTTCCTTTGGCACTCATCGGATGCTGATCCATGGCTGTGACCGGGGGAACAGTTTCGACGCTGAAGTGTCCCCAAGGACCCCAAATCAGATAGCTTACAGTCTAGATTCATGTTGTGGTACTAAACGACTGATGATGCACGAGACACCGGTCAGTCCGGAGCATGGTGATCGCCAAAGTGGAAAGATCGCGAGGGAAACTCTGAAGTGGCAGAGTAACACAACAATCCGAGTCAGATACGTGGCACTGGGCAGAAAGGGATCGATCGAGCGACGGCAATTCCGTCGTCGTAGAAAAGCACGCTATAATGACTCGGATCGTGATCTCAAGATATGAACGGCCGGTGGGATGTTGGTCGGTGACTTTGTGGGATGCCGTCAACCATCGCCATTCAATCAATGCGCGAGGTCCTAGCAATCTTAGAACAGGCTGGTAGCAGTGCGACTCAGGGCATTGAAAGTCTACGTAGATGAAATGTGTTTGACGAACACACTCAGGGCAAATCTTGCTATATGGACTAATGACATCCAGCACAGCCTCTGGGAGCTCACGCAGGTATGGCGGCATGTTGACTTCGGCGCCGGCCCCGGCGTGCAGCACGATCGCGACTAGGCTCCGTATCATCCGGTCGCCGAGTTATCCATACGCAGGCGGGACACGGGTAAGGGGAGTTAGAAATCACACAACCCACAAACCCGACGCAATGGTTATGAGGTACGGAAGCGGGGAGGAAGAATTCGCGCAGCTGTATCCGTATGCGCCCGGGTTCCGCCGAATCACATCAGACTATTTGAGTCAACTGCTCCCCGCCGTTCGTTTACATGCCGGCACTTGCTGCTGTGCCACCTTGGCGCACAGATTCTTCGAAGAACATTCCGCAGCTCACAGCTGCCATGATCTCCAGAGTCGCAAGCCGAATCCGGCATTGGATTTCTCTCCACGAACACAACAAAGAGGCACTTTGTACGGCCGAGGCTTCGGACCACAGATAATCCCAGCAACGGCCGGTAGATGGCCTCTAGCGAACAAAGGAGCCGAGCCTAGTGCCGGTAAGGGCAAGGTGAGCATGACTCGCGTACGCTAAAGATATTACAGCACCATGTCCTCGGGCTGCTAGATTGCAAAAAGCTCTCTCCCATTGGCATACCGCGGAAACTAGTGGGGGGTTGGCCGATATGACGGCTGCTATCATTGCGGGGTTATTTCACGAGACAAAGAAACGCGAAAGCTTGAAGAAGTTGTCGGGGCCTCAGATCATGATCACCGTCACCTCGCCCGGGAAGTCTTCGGACCACCGAGACATGCACAACCCAACTGCTGCAACATCGCGGACATCCAGCATAGCATAGTTTGGTGATCATGTCTCTGCTCCAAGGGTTCGTCGACCCATACCTGACAGCCGGGGCCGCGATCCTCTTCACGATCCTCTTCGCCGTCCTGCGCCCGAAGAAGCCGACCCATCCGCCGGGGACAACCCTCCCGCCAGGTCCCAAACCCAAACCCCTCATCGGCAACCTCCTCTCGATCCCGCCGGTACACTCCTGGCTGGCCTTCCATGAGCTCATCAAAGAGCACGGCCCCGTCGTCCGCCTCGCCCTCCCGGGCGGCCAGGAGCACGTCCTCCTCGGCACCGAGGCCGCCGCCAACGAGCTTCTCCGCCAGCGGGGCAACATCTACAGCGATCGGCACTATGCGCCGGCATCGTCGCACTTCCTGACGGATGATCACATGCTTCTGCTGCTTCCCTATGACGAGAAATGGAGAAACTACCGGAGGTTTCTGCACCAGGTCACAATGTCGCCGGTGGCGCCACAGTACGAGACGGAGCAGCGCATCGAGGCGGTCAGACTACTCCGCGACCTGATCCGCAAGCCGCGCGACTACGAGGCCCTCTTTGAGCGGTTCAGCGTCGGGCTGGGCATGCGCATCATCTACGGCCTGCGCGCGGAAACCGGCCATGACCGTGAGGTGCGGATGCTGCTCGACATCGTTCACGAGCTGGAGCGCGTGGGCTCGCCCGGGGCGTATCTCGTCGATATCTTCCCGTCGCTAAAGTATCTGCCAGAGTGGATGGCGCCCTGGAAGAAATACCTCCGAGCACGGAGGCGCCGCGACGAGGACTTCTTTCAAGAGTTGATCGACCGGAGCAAGTCGCCGTCTTGGGCGCGGACGTGGCTCGAAACGCAAGACCAGTGGGGGCTCACGCGGCGGGAGGCGAATTGGATGCTGGGATCTGTATTTCAGGCTGCGGGAACGACTTCTGGGTCGGCTCTTGCGTCGTTTATTCTCTGCGTTGTCAGGAACCCTGGGTGGTTTGAGAAGCTTCAGGCCGAGGTCGACTCTGTTGTTGGACCCGACAGGTTACCTACTTTCGAAGACATGCCACAGCTTCCGCTTGTCAGGGCGTGCGTGAAGGAGACGCTGCGGTACTACCCGATCACGGCCGGCGGTTTCCCTCATCGGCTGACGGAAGACGATACGTACAACGGATATTACTTGAAGAAGGGGACCGTGGTGCATGCGGTGCAGTGGGCTATCCAACGCGACCCGGAGACCTACCCAGAGCCCGAGCTCTTCAACCCGGACCGCTGGCTGAATCCCAAGTATCCGACATATAGAGAACCTCTCACAGTCTATCCCAACTTGCAGCAGTTCACGGCGTTCGGACACGGCCGCCGGATATGCCAAGGGATCAATATCGCTGAGCGGAGTCTCAACCTCAAGATCGCGCTGCTTGCTTGGGCTTGTAACATTTCTCGGGCTAGGGACGGTAACGGCAAAGAGGTTATACCGCCAGTGTATGACTTTGCCGCCGGTTTCAATGTGCAACCAAAGGAGTTTGATTTCGACCTACAGCCAAGAAGTCAACAACGAGTCGACTTGCTGGAGAGCGTGTTCGAAGATACACTGAAAGAAGATCCGTTGTTGTCATAGATTTAGACGAAGGCTAATGGGATGTTTAATGTTAAGCGTGATTGAGTACGTCAATACCTAATTCTTCACAAAGGATACATGTACATGGGCCTTGTTCGTTGAAGTGTGAGACAACTTCATCCTGGGCACTGATCATTACAAATCGGGATCCTCCGTTATTTGTCAAGGGACCAAAAGATAAGAACAGAAGCATTTGAGCCACATCCTGTGGGGTCTATTCCATCAAAGTGTATCTCTAAAGTCTTCAAATTTTGTTGTGATTTACCGTTGCTACCAGCCAGGGAATTAGACAGCTCACGAGCAATGAGATCGCACAGAATCTTCCAACATTGGTATTCTCATACATACGGTTCCTCGCAAAGTATTACGTACTTTTATAATACAATCATCATCTAACCGCAAGCTGCCCAATCCGTCGAAAAGCAAAGGCATCGTGACAAGGCATCAAGTTCAGTCACTCCTTTTTGACTCCCCATTATCCAGATACCGACATGTATTCAGTCACATGTCAAAAATCAGCTCCTACTCCTATGCTCATCACCGGAGTCAAAGCAGTCGCCACAGACCCCGTAGCCGCAACGTCATTTAGCCTCCTCTTGACCTCCATGCCGAGACTCTGTATAGCCCTCAATAACGGCATAAAGTCCCGATCGTCCCTAGATCCCTTGAGCATCACGTCCCCAATCTCCTCCAGTAGCTCAATATCGTCGTAGTGACTCCTCACATCAACGGCCCGAAGGATATGGTTCAAGAGGCAAGCGTACGAGACGTAGGCGCGGTAGATGCCCAGCAGTACACACATGGTTTCAGGATAGGGGTTATGCACCAGGATAGCCCGCACGATTCTCAGCATGCCCCGCGAGGCCTCGACGGCTAGCGGGGAGTCGGGAATGTCCGCATCGCAGGACACGGGTCGCGGAGAGTTGGAGTTGAGGACGGCGAGTTTGCGCAGGATGAAGATGATGTAGGTGTACCCGGTCATGGCTACATCGCCCAGCAACCAGCAATCGGCTTTTGCGGCCGACGCTACACTTCGTTGAATCCAGTCTTCCTTTTTTCAGGCATCAGAAAGTCCTCAGCAAGACCAAAGTGAGGAGATGACGCTTACAATTTGATACTCATCGAAGAGCTGGCCAATCTCTCTACAGTACTCCTCAGCTTTCGGTCGAATGGTGGCTTCGTCGCAATCTGGCGACTCAAGGTCCTGGAAAAAATGCGACAGAATGAATGTAAGCCTTGACCCCATGAGAAACGTCACCGTCGGGACAGCATTGAGGTCCGGCGGCGCGCTACCAGATGATAGCCATGGCAAGTTGACCCTCCACGTATTCATGCTGTCCGTGATGGCCGGCGGGCGATTGAATAGTAGCCTGAAGAAGAAGTCAATCTGGATCAACTCCCAGAAACCCTTGCGATCGGCATCGAGTTTACTCTCGTCCTGGCCTATCGCCGTGGTGTAGGCGTCGAGGTTATGCAGGTTGAGTGCTTGCGCGTACTCGCAAGCGTAGGTGTACATCTTCCAAGCCAATTCTTCGTCAAAGCACTCAGCTGCCGTGCGGCACTGTGGTCCAGCAGCCGTAGTTAGTCCAGGATGAATTTGCTAGATGGGGCGCGAGAGCGATACTGACCATGGTGAGAGCGGCGATGAGGTCGGTCGTAGACCCTGTTGCTTCGCGTTGCCAAAGTGGTAGAGTTCGAAGACAGCACACGTAGAGCATTCGAATGTACTTTTGTCCTTCCTCATTTGCCTGTACGGTTGAGCCTAGAGCACAGCCGTGGTACAGAACGCCGTAGTACACAACCAAAATAGCCGGATCGAGGTGGACATGCGGTAACCCAAGAAGATCTGGGATGATCTCTATGAGTCTTGGGTTCACGAGACTGAGGAACATGTCCGTATGCATGTGCGTGAAATAGTCTAGCAGAGACGTTAGACGTAAAGCGATAGAGCTTCTCGAAGAACTCTTCTTCTTGAGGCATTTAGTAATACATGGTGACTTACTCTTGATCCATTGCTTAGCCAACTCAGGAGGGACCCTGACGTCCTGAGTGACGACGGCAGCAGACACAGTCTGCAATCTCAGTCGTTGCACTTGATCGACGGCATCCTTAAGAATGGCCGCGACATCAAGTTCAGGAATCGCGCTCGGCGTGGCGAATGATGTCCACGGCGAAGTGGCCTGCCCACCGGCAGCACTCGATGGAGCGGGAGACGACAGGTTAGATGGGGCGCTGTTGGAGCTTGAAGTACGTTGTCGGGGCGGCGGGGCGGCAGCGGGCGGATCAGCAGCCACGGAAGCAGGGGGCGCGTCTCGAGATTGCGGATCTTGATTTCCATTCGGGAGGGTGGTGCAGTGCTTCTCGACGCGCTGTAACCTTTCTAGTATGGTTGACAGGGCGTCGTCCGTCGTGCTGGAATCGCCAAGGCTAGGTCTTGAGCCAACAGTTCTTTTACAAGAATCTCGTGGAGATTCATTGGTGGGAGGGGGTAGAGAAGGCTTGGAAGAGGAGGAGGGGTGGAACTTACGATAGACGGTCCGTCAAGGTCCGAGTGACCTTTCTCTTGACTCTTTGGGGATAGACGCACTCTGTCTCGTGGGTTTTGCATCTTTCGCATGTTGGCATGCCACGACTACACCGGACCTGATGTCGCGAAGAGAAGCGTCAGTCGACCACATCTAATGTGGTCCAAGGGAACACGGCGACGACTGACCTTTCTGTGTTTGCATCGTTTGCACTACCCAAGCAAAAATTCGGCATCCCAAGTCAGCCATAAAACCACAATAGGAGAGAGAGAGAGACCCGTTGCCCGGAAAGCCAAGTCTAGAGGATCAGGAACCAGGGAGCGGACTATGGAGCTATAGCAACCTCCGCTGTACTCACCGAAAGCGGATTCAACTGGGCGGACTGGTCAGGCATGATTACCTAAGTCGTCGAAGGGATCTCGGAGAGCGGAGAATTCGATGTGTTTTGTGGTGTAGCGAGATGTGCTACAAAGAGAGAGGGGGGACTTTGGAGGACAAATACACCATGCCAGGCCCGCGACGATCCCACCCGAGCCGTATGATGCATCATGATCTCGATTCTTCGGGGGTCGAGAATTGGTTTTAGCTCACAAAGTCTAATTAGGTGCCGTCTGGTTTGCTTGGCAAGGGGTTTGCTAGGTGCCCAGCGTGACGCAGCGCAGCACAAACCTCACAAAGCTGCGTCACGGAGGCCGCGGGCCACGGTCTGAGGGGGCCCGAGATCGCCGGACACTCAGTCTGGAGCAGCAACAACAGTTCTTCCGGCCATCTTTTCTTCGTAATCAGTTCTATCAAAGGTTCTTCCCAGCTGGTTCCAGCTGGACTCGGTTTATGCGCCTTAGTGCGCGGCAAGTTCCTTTGTTTTAAGCTTCTTAAGCTTGGAGGACGTGGCTAGTAGATCAGATTATAAAGATGATCGACGCTTGACGACCCTAATTACGTCTTGGCAAAGTCCGAAACGACGTCCTAGACCTGCTAATCGAGCGCCATAGGGCTGAAGAAAACCCCTAACCGCGGACTTTCGGACTCTCGTCCAACGAATATCCGCCAGTCGTACCACCAACCAACAGCGAACGTCAGCAACTAACGCAAATATGAGTGATGATGAGATTTTTGCAACTTGGCAATATGGGGCTTTCAGATGTTTTGACGCTCGGGGATGCATACATATAATTGGTGTCTCGAAGTTGAGATGGCATGATATTTTCCAACTTCAGTTTCAATCAACTCATCCCATATCTTAGAATCAATCTTTCTTAATATTTCTCACTTACACAAATTGTCACTGCCTCACACTTGGCTACTTTTGGGTTATTCTCGTCGTCTGGTCTGAGTGACCGTCAAAGCGACAATGCGGTCTGACAGCGACACGGACAGTGGTACTCTACCACCTCCATCGACAAACGAGAAGAAGGTTCTCCCGCCAAGCTCTGGATCTTATTCAGCTGGCACAACCACCGAGAAAGAATGGACGAAGCATGAAGATGCTGCGGATCAGGAAACGCGAATGAACGATGAGGTTCTGCAACTCGCTCGCAGATACACGACGCAGTCCAACGCTGCCCCCGGTTCTCTCTTCCCAGTCCCCGCCGAAGGTCCCTTGAACCCCAGCAGTCCAGACTTCAACGCAAGAAAGTGGGCAAAGGCATTCTACAACATCCGCACCGACACCTCGGAGGGCAACCCTCCAAAGACAACGGGCATCGCCTTCAAGAACCTTAATGTCTTTGGCTATGGAACATCCACCGACTACCAGAAGAGCGTCGGCAACGTTTTCCTCGAGGCGGCGAGCTTGATCAAAAAACTCACTGGAGCCAAGGAGCAACGGATCGATATCCTCCACGATCTCGAGGGTGTCGTTCACAGCGGCGAGATGCTAGCCGTCCTCGGTCCTCCCGGATCCGGCTGCTCGACTCTGCTGAAGACGATCGCCGGTGACACGCACGGATTCTACATTAGTGACGACGCGACTATCAACTACCAAGGCATCCAGCCCAAGGATATGCGCACTGCCTTCAGGGGCGAGGCCATTTACACCGCCGAGGTTGATGAGCATTTCGCCCACTTGACAGTTGGAGACACCTTGTACTTCGCAGCTCGTGCCAGATGCCCCAAGAACATCCCCGAGGGCATTACCAGACGCGAATACGCCGAACATCTCCGTGATGTTACGATGGCTATGTTTGGTATCTCGCATACGAAGAACACCCGTGTTGGTGATGACTTCGTTCGTGGCGTGTCGGGTGGTGAGCGTAAGCGTGTTACCATCGCTGAGGCTGCTTTGAGTTATTCGCCGCTGCAGTGCTGGGATAACAGTACCAGAGGCCTCGACAGTGCCAACGCCCTCGAGTTCTGCCGCACTTTGAGAACCCAAGCGGATACCATGGGCTGCACTTCATGCGTTGCCATCTATCAGGCTTCCCAGGATGCCTATGATGTAAGTCATTGATTCTGATTTTGTTACACCAAGAAGCCTAACTGACAAAAAAACAAGGTCTTTGACAAAGTTGTCGTTCTGTTCGAAGGCCGTCAAATCTACTTTGGCAAAACCACCGAAGCCCGAGGTTATTTCGAGGGCCTAGGCTTCATCTGCCCAGAGCAACAAACGACAGCCGACTTCCTCACCTCCATGACCAGCCACCAGGAGCGCGTCATCCGCCCTGGCTGGGAGAGCAAGACGCCGCGCAGCCCCGACGAATTTGCCCGCGCCTGGAAGGCCAGCCAGCAGCGCGCCCGCCTCCTTGAGGACGTCGAAGACTACCTCCAGCGCCACCCCTTTGGCGGCGAGCACTACCAAAAGTTCCTCGAGTCCCGCCGCATCGACCAGTCCAAGTCTCAGCGCCAGAACTCGCCCTTTACTCTTTCGTATATGGAGCAGATGCGCCTCACGCTGTGGCGAAGCTGGGTGATGCTCAAAGGCGACCCCAGCATCACCCTCACGATGCTAATCACCAACATCTTTGAGGCCTTGATCATTAGCAGTCTGTTCTACAATCTGCCCACCAATACGTCTAGCTTCTTCCGCCGAGGTATCCTGCTCTTCTTCACGGTCATCATCAATGCCTTTGGCAGCATCCTGGAAATCATGACGTTGTACGCCAAGCGCAAGATTGTCGAAAAACACGCCCGGTATGCCTTATACCACCCCAGTGCTGAGGCGCTCTCAGCCATGGTCGTCGACTTGCCCTATAAGATTGTCAATGCCGTCCTGATGAATACTATCTTGTATTTCATGGGCAATCTCCGCCGCGAGCCGGGCGCCTTCTTCTTCTTCCTGCTCATCTCCTTCTCGATGACCCTGACCATGTCGATGATGTTCCGTCTCATCGGCTCCGTCACAAAGTCAGTTGCTCAGGCTCTGGCACCGGCGTCAATCATCCTGCTCCTCATCGCTCTGTACACCGGTTTCGCTATCCCGCCTCAGTACATGCAAGATTGGTTGGGTTGGGTCAGATGGCTGAACCCTGTCTACTACGGTCTCGAAAGCGTTATGCTCAACGAGTTCATTGGCCGCGACTTCCGCTGCTCAAACTTCGTACCCATGGGCCCTGGATATGACTCCGTCGCTGCCAACGAACGCGTCTGTTCCACGGCAGGCTCTGTCCCAGGCCAGGACATGGTCAGCGGCACAGCCTATCTCAGCACCTCGTACAGCTTCGAGAACTCCCATCGGTGGAGAAATTTTGGAGTCATGATTGCTTACATGATCCTCTTCATGGGTCTGCATCTTTTCGCTACCGAGTACATCGCTTCCGAGCGTTCCAAGGGTGAGGTCTTGGTCTTCAGCCGTAAGGCTATGAGCAAGCGCCGCAAGCAAGGCGCCGTCGATGTCGAGACTGGTGCCCCCGCCGCTGGTGCGCAGCAGAGAAGCGAGGATGACTCTGAGGGCGTTGCCGGCATGGAGAAGCAGACCTCAGTCTTCCACTGGAAGGATGTTTGCTATGATATCAAGATCAAGGGCGAGCCTCGACGGATTCTGGACCATGTTGACGGTTGGGTTAAGCCTGGAACTCTGACTGCACTCATGGTAAGTCTTTTGCAATAGCAGATGATTCCAACTTTCAACAAGACAGCGGCTAACATCATCGGCAGGGCGTTTCTGGAGCCGGCAAGACGACGTTGCTCGACGTTCTCGCCACTCGCGTAACAATGGGCGTCATCTCCGGTGACATGCTCGTCAACGGTCAACCCCGCGATGACTCCTTCCAGCGCAAAACGGGCTACGTCACACAGCAAGATCTACACCTCCACACATCCACCGTCCGCGAGGCCCTCAACTTCAGTGCCCTCCTTCGCCAGCCAGACACCTACTCCCGCAAAGAAAAGCTCGAGTACGTCGACACCGTCATCAATCTCCTCGGTATGGAAGAGTACTCCGACGCCGTCATCGGCGTACCCGGCGAAGGCCTCAACGTCGAGCAGAGAAAGCGTCTTACCATTGGCGTCGAGCTCGCCGCCCGCCCGCAACTCCTCTTGTTCCTCGACGAGCCTACTTCCGGACTCGACAGCCAGACTTCGTGGTCGATTTGCAACCTCATGGAGAAGCTCACCAAGAGCGGCCAGGCTATCTTGTGTACCATCCACCAGCCCTCAGCGATGCTGTTCCAGCGCTTCGACAGACTACTTCTTCTCGCCCGCGGCGGTCGTACGGTCTACTTTGGAGAGATTGGCAAGAATTCACAGACCTTAGTCGATTACTTTGTCCGCAACGGTGGGCCGGAATGTCCGCCTGGTGCGAATCCCGCAGAGTATATGCTTGAGGTCATCGGAGCCGCGCCCGGTGCCCACACCGACATTGACTGGCCCGCCGTCTGGCGCCAAACACCCGAGTACCAGGCTGTTCAGGATGAGTTGGCCCGACTCTGCTCTGATGGTTCTGCGCGACCTGCCCTGATCAACGGTCAAGCCCAATCCACGCACAAGGAGTTTGCTGCCGGCTTTGGTACGCAGTTTGTTGAGGTCACGAAGCGTGTTTTCCAGCAATACTGGAGAAGCCCTGCCTACATCTACTCAAAGGGTGTTCTGTCTTTTGGTGCTGTGAGTAACCCCCTTCGGAACTTTACACTTAAGTCTCCGACTAACCCACCTTCTTAGGCTCTGTTCATCGGTCTCTCATTCCTCAACGCTGAAAACACGCAGCGTGGCTTGCAAAACCAAATGTTCGGTGTCTTCATCTTCCTAACGGTATTCAGCCAGGTCGTCGAGCAAATTCTTCCCATCTTCGTGTCGCAGCGAACCATGTACGAGGCGCGCGAAAGACCCTCAAAGGCGTACTCGTGGAAGGCCTTTATGTTTGCCAACATTCTTGTGGAAATGGCCTGGAACTCGGTAAGCTTTCCCGTGACCTTAGTTTCCAGCCAACAGTCAACTAACCATCCTTCAGCTTGCCTCCGTCTTCTGCTTCGTGTGCTGGTACTTCCCCATCGGCCTTTACCGCAACGCCTACGCAACCGACGCCGTCGACTCCCGCGGCATCACCATGTTCCTCCAAGTCTGGGTGTTCTTCATCTTCACCGGATCTTTCGCCCATATGATGATTGCAGGCCTGCCCAACGCTGAAGTAGCCGGCGGCATCGTCAACCTTTTCGCCATTATGATGTTTGCTTTCTGCGGGTGAGTCCAGTCTTTTAATTAGCCCCCCATATGAAAGATAGCTAATTACCTCATTCATCAGAATTCTCGCCGGACCAAAAGACCTCCCAGGCTTCTGGATCTTCATGTATCGTGTCAACCCCTTCACCTACGTGGTAGAAGGCTTTCTAGGCACCTCGCTCGCCAACGCAGCGGTGCACTGCGCCTCCAACGAGTTCGTCTCCTTTGCGGCACCGAGCGGCCAGACGTGCGGGCAGTACATGGCCGACTACATCTCCGCTGCCGGTGGCTATCTTTCGAACCCGGATGCCGGCAATTCGACCGAGTGCCAGTACTGCGCCATGTCGGACACCAATACCTTTTTGAAGGGGATCAATGTAGACTTTGATCACCGGTGGAGGAACTTTGGGTTGATGTGGGCGTACTGCATCTTCAACATTGTTGTGGCCTTGGCTGTGTACTGGCTGGTGCGCATGCCTAAGAACAAGAAGGTCAAGAAGGAGTAGTTAGCTATGGTGTGACAAGATTTCTTTTGTGGTAGAAATATGGACGGAATGTACATTTCCGGGTTTTAGACGGAGAGAATGGGTGGAACACGTGCATTAGATGCAGGGTTAGCGCTAGAAGCCTTTTTTGTGCTTCTCTTTTCAGCGCATTTCAGATTGTTACCGGCTTAATCGCAATATTTAATAGACATAGAATCTGCTTCAAGCATCATGAAACCTGGCAGGAGTTTAGCAGCTGACTGGAATCGTGACAAAGTCGACGATAAACATGACTTAGGTAGCACAGTTAATACATAGAGAACAGGAGACTCCCCTCAGACTCGGGCACAATAACCTGCATGCCAAGGAAGAATCCGCGCGGATGGAGTCGTCCGATGTAATCCTCCGGCCTAGTGTGCGTCTCGGGGACCGAAGTCCGGAAATGCAGGCGCGGAGGGCCGAATATTGGCACGGGAAGACCGTGGAGAATCCTACGTGTCCCCGAGTCAAGATGGACGATGACGTACTTAATTTCTTTGGTGACCATAGATAGACCGTCAACGTGCGCTGCATTCCTGTATGCGGGCAGTTCAAAACTTTGAAGTCGCGCCATGATTATAGCGTAGGGCGCTGGTGGACTAATCTGCCGCCTTGAACGTCAGCGTCACTACCAGCCAAAATCTTGGGATGGCCTAGAAGCATGTCAAGAACAGCAACAACAGGGTCGTCAGTTGAATCGGTTTGTTTATCTCCTCGAAAGCGATTCCGAAGTCTGGGGTAAGAGGAAAGATCAAGGGAATGTTTCTGGAATTTGGACGTGTCTTGGTGTTTTGATCGGGACTTTGCGCACAGTCTCACCACCAACAGGGCCCGTTGACGGCCTGTTTCAGGTTTCGTTCCTTCTGGAATGCGTCGCTCAGTTGGCTATTGGAGCGCGGTGAGATGGAGTGGTTGAAGAAGCAAGTGTTCTTTAAGTATTTGCTTTCTTTTCTCTTAATGTCTGGCTATCTGCGATGAGTTCTTAATAGCCATGCGTTTACCATGCAGTCACATACAGTGGGGTGTCAAAAGTTCGTATACACCCTACCATTGTCCCTAATTACCCAACCTCCTGCATTTTCACTACTATACTTCGACTAGCTGCAGAACTATTAATTTTTTAATTTATATAGCAAAAGTATATATAAAAAAAAGCCCTAAGTTTACTATTTAGTATTATATATACTAACTACGTACCTAAATTATTATTATAAATCGGTATAATAAGGAGTTAATTAGATTCTTAATCTTTTTTAATAATATAGCTTTTTATACTACCCTTAATTACTACTTAAACCCTTTTATATTTAACTTATTTTTCTTTAAAATAAATACTTTTAGGTATAGTTTACGTAAGTTAAACTTTATTATACGTTAATAATACTTAATTAGGTTAAGGTTTAGTAAATATAGAGGCTATTTAAAGTAAGAAATCTTATAGGCTATAAGCTACTCTATCATTTATTTTATAATATAAATAAGAATATTATCCTATATAAAATGCTATATATTATTTATGTATAATAAATACCCTTTTTTTAAGTAATTTATATAGTTATTTATATTATACCCTTATTATTAAGAGCGGTTATTATAAATAAAGAAAACTAATTTAAAGCGACTATTTTTTTATACTATTACTTATATTAAAATAAATATATTTACTTTAATATAACTAATAAGGTTAATAAATCTCTTTTTTTAACGGTTTTTTAATAACTTAAATACTTATTTAGTTAAGGTAAAAATATTATTTTAATAAGACGATTTATTAAAGAACTAGGACTAAAATTATTAAAAATTAATAAATAAATCTCTATATAAAGTCTTCGTACTAAACTATATACTATTATTAATTTTTTTAGGTTTTAGATCTAGTTTTTTATAAAATCGAGCCTTTTAGTTACTATTTTTAATATTATAAAAGGTCTCTATATAGCTCTTTATTTATAATAACTTACTTTTTTAAAAATATACTTAATAATACTAAGGCTAGCCTAGTTCTATTACTTAATAACTAATTTAAAATATAGCTATTAGTAGTTAATTTAAGTAGATTTAATTATAAAGCGTTTTTTTTTATTAAAAGGATTTTTTAGCCTTTTTTCTTAGGGTAGGGATTTAAAGTTAGTACTTAAATTAAAATAATAAACTACTTTTTATATTATTAAATATAATAGGCCGAAGAGTATTATAACCTCGTAATAGCTCTTTTTAATTATTATAAATATAATAATCGTTATTTACTAAACTTTTATAAGTTTATAGTTAGCCCTATAGCTTTTTATTATTTAAAAATAAAAAGCTTATAAATTAGCCTCTATTTACTAAAGTTATGGAATATAGAAGGAAAAGTAATATTAAGGAGAAAAGGCGTCGGTACGCGTATTAGTGGGGTGTATACGAACTTTTGACACCCTACTGTATAAATCGATGTTTTAGCTACCCACAGTTCCTTACCTCAACACAGCACCCAAATGTTTCTTAGCAGCACTGCAGGGAGAGACAAGTCCACAACCCGATTCTTGTTGGGGCATGGCTCGGGGCGCCTTGGGTTCTAATAGCGCCGTTTGTCATGTCCCTGGATGCCTGTGTCTGCTGAGATAATATGGTCAACAAGTTATGTTCCCCTTACATTGTACCTGGAGGCCAAAGGGTCCAGCGCAAATGCTTTGGGGTACACAGGGATAACAGAGAGCTCGTCCGGCGCGGGATGCCTGACGGCTCCCATAGATCCATGCTGTTGTTTATGCTGTGTTTGTCGCCCCGCAGCTATATTCCCGACTCTTCCCCCTGCCACCTGGGTATCTTTGGTCCCAACTTTGTCCCATGCCAACTACCATGTCTCGCCCAATCCAGGCTCTGATCGGTGCCATAACACCGTCTTATTGATACTTTTGTCAAGCTCTCTTCCTTGTCGGGACTCGGCTATTGCTTGGTAAAGTGGTGACCTTGCTTCATCCCGCCCTTTGCTCGACGATCGGATGCGACACCGGCCTGTATGTCAGGACCTCTCCACACTTCAGCATCCCTTTCGGACCCTTTTTCTGAAATTCTGACTGCCGGTCTTACCGCCGGGTCCTGTTGGTGATTGGGCGTCAGATGGCTTCGTCCTGAAGCACGCACACTGGCACGTCCTAGATCTGCAGGACAAGTGCCTCGCCCTGAATGGTCGCATGGCCACACGCACGCGGTCCAGCCCCCCTCCCCTTCATCAAGTTAGGTTCCTCCAACTTGATCTATGACTTGTGTCCCATGGTTCGCGACCACTGGCAACCTCCGAAGCCTAAGCACCGTGGCACCTAAGGTAGTGTGCCTGTAGACGAGGGCGAAAATGAACCAAAAGGGAGATCGATCACCTTACCTCAACTTGTTTGGGTTCCGGGCTGCAGCGAGTAAGCGTGGCTTTACTCCAAGCTCAAGCTGCCGCCGCCTCGCCGTTTCTTTCTCACCACACCTTTCTTTTCGCCTCGTTTCGATCTTGCAACCCTCTCATCCAGAATCAGGAACCAGCACAAGCTCAGTCGGTAACCCGTTCCTAAGGTAGCTCAGGTGCGGTGGCCACAAGGAGGGAGGGGTCTTTTGCGTGGCTTACTCCGAACCACACTCATTCTCACTTTCTCACTCATCTCAACTCTTTTCTCTCACTTTAATCTTTCTCCAACGCGACGGGGCTCGGGAATTGCCCAGACTTGGCTTCTTAGGAGGGGGGACAGCCACTGGTCTGGCTCGCTCAGCGCAGCTCACTGCACACGTTCACGGCGCTCATCAAAATTTGACTCACTCTCATCTCATTCCGCGCGCCTCTCACCTCAACGGCCGCATTCCTCACTTCTCCTACTGGTCTGCTTCACCTTTGCGACACCTACTCAACTTCAAGCCCATAGACTCAGTGTCCCGACGACATCCACGACGCCTCCGACAACGACAACCGAGAGCGATACACGAGCAGGTCCTTTCGAGGGGGCGACATTCCCCCAATAGCGAAATACCCCGACGCGGTGAGCCAGCCCGAAACCCCCAAGAAAACCATCCGCCATGCGCCCGAACAAGGCCCCGCGATGGGGGGCGGTGAGCCGCACCTCCGACAAAGCCTCCATCCTCACCCTCCTCGGCATCTCAGAACTCCTCAAGCTGCGCGGGAAATGGAGCATGGCTCTACGCCTCGGCACCTTCGCCCTCCGCCAGTCCCAAGGCCTGGGGACGCTGACCGAGGGGCTCGCCCTGCTGAGCGTCGGCCACGCCTACCGCAACCAAACCCCCGAAGACTGGATCTCAGCTCAGCACCACCTCCGCATGGCGAAACTACTCCTCGAGGGTCTCCCAACGAGCGAGGACCAGACTTTCTACCTAATGCGCGCCGTCCTGCTCCTCGGCGACACCCTCGTGCGCCGCGAGGATCTGGGCGACATCGCTGAGGCCGAAGAGCTGGCTCATCTCGCCGAGCGCCTGCTGCGCCAGAGCCGCGAAGGGCGATCATCGGATTCGGGCAGCAGCAGCAGCAGGGGTAGATCGTTCCGCTGGACGCTTTTTACAGGTTCATGGCGCGACTTTTGTCTACACTCTATGGTCGAGTTGGGCGAGATATACTATTACACAAGTCGCTGGGCCGAAGGGGAGAAGCTGCTGCGCGAGCTGGTGCCCACGCTGGTGCGGCGGAGGGGTAAACGCCACGTCACGACGATCGAAGCGCAGCGCGACCTGGCGAGCATGCTCGTCAACCAGGACAAGTACGAAGAGGCCGAGATCGCCTACCGCATCGCGCGGGACTGGAACGAGGAGGTACCCGTCTTCGGGCATGAAGAGAAGGCAGCCATCGACTACAACATCGCAATGTGCCTCTCGGAGCGCGGGCGAGACGAGGAGGCCCGCGTGGAGATTGGCAACATGGACCTGGCCGCCGACCTGCTGCACTACGCTAACGGCGAGTGGACGCTGAAGCTGGCGCGGCTCACGAGCCTGCGGCTGAAAAAGTACGACGAGGTCATTGGGCTCTGCCGGCGCTTCCAGCGCGTGCTGGACGAGCACAGGGCTCGGTTCGGGGTCTGCAGCACCGTGACGCTGCGCAACATGGAGGACCACGTCACGGCGCTCAAGGCCCTGCGGAGGTGGGACGAGGCTATTGTCATCCTGCGCGACATGTGCCGGCGCGAGGCGAGCGACGTCGCGCGCGTGGTCGAGCAGACGCTGGAGACGCGGCTGAACCTCGCGCACACGCTGCGGTGCGCGGGGCTCCACGAGGAGGCGGCGTACGAGTACCGCAAGTGTCTCGAGATCGAGCGGGCGGCGTCCAACGACTTCCAGGACGAGGCGCAGATTCGGAATATACTAAAGTACCTCGCGTACTTGTACGAGCTGGCGGGCGACAAGGCGAACGCGCTGATTGCGTATTCGCAGCTGCAGAGGGAGTACTGGGGCCGGCCGAGCCATCATAGGAACTTTATCAAATACGAGTGGTGCCGGGGCAAGATGTTTATGCTCCAGGGCCGGTGGGAGCACGCCTTGAAGCTGCTGCTTGGCGCGCTTGCTGTCAAGAGGGGAATCGAGACGGCTGTATCCATCATCACGGGATTGCCGATCGAAGCGGTGCATGCTATGCAACCCGGGAGGAGGGTGCCCGAGCCGACGCAACAGGACATATTAGAAGTCGACGACGAGACCGACGAGGAGGAACAAGATCTCAAGGGGTTGGAAAAGGTGGACACTCGAGGCCAGGTCCAGGTTCAGGAACTGGATGGTTCGGAGGATACTTCTGACGATGAAGCAGAGCAGCAGTCGTGGGATGAGGTCGACTGGTGGGAGGAGGTCATCAAAGACGCCGTGGACGCGGTACGGCGCGAGGAGCCCTTCCAGGCCTGTACGCCGCTCGACGAGGCTGACTCGGAGGTGGACGACGATGAGGTCGAGGAGACGGTGGATGCCGTGCTCACACTGAAGAGCGGGTATCCGGCCGTGCCTGCGGGCGACGAGTGGTCGCAGCCACAGTGGCCACGGCTCCCGGATACGTATGAGGAGTTGGTGATTCAGCAGCGAAGTGTTGTTGAGGAGAGTAGACCTTGGGCTCCGTGAGGGCATTCAGGGACGATGATGAGAAGGGCCTCGAGGCGTCTGTTGCATAAAACTTTGTTTGATGATATCCGGAGTTGGGCATGATGCTTTGCATCAGACGGTTTGGAGGAGTGTCTTTGCTGGCACTTCATGTTGGTTGGATCCCTGGAGATCGTACATATAGGCTGGACAGGACTGGATATAATGACTTTCACGCCCCCTTGACTATAAAATAATGACATTGCATATTACTCTTCGTAAAAACCCCAATATACTCGTGACTACTATTAATATGGTATAGATCTCAGATAAAACTAGTTGTCCACGTTGATTGCCTCATACCGTCCGGGCCTGAAGCCGGCCGCGGAGATCCGCCACCGGTTTTAGCCACCATAATCCCGGTGCTTACTCAGACGGAGGAGGACTCCGCGGCAGCCTCCGTGGAAGACCCCGCACTGCTCCGGATCAGCGCAGCATTACATCAGTTCATGTACAAATAGCTAGTGTTTGATTCACGTGAATATAGAGATTAGTATATACGAGACGTGATCGGGCTGGTGCTGCTCCTTGGGGACTTTCTTCCGATAGTTTGTGGTATTAATACGACAAACAGCCTGAAGAACCTAGCCAAAGTCCCAGGTTCGATCCGTATTGAAGCGCGTAGAAGTTTCCAAACGGAACTTACGATCATTCTATCAACATACCATTTCGTACCGAAGTCCATATCTCGCTTGGATTGCAGCCGCCTTTTCTAAACCCCATATAATACTCCTCACCAACATGTCAATTCTCGTCCTCGGCGCAGGCGAACTCGGCACAGCCATCCTCAACGCCCTCACATCCCATCCCTCCCGTCCACCCACCTCCAAAATCTCCGTCCTGCTCCGCCCTTCCACAATATCATCAACTAGCCCGTCCAAAGCCAAATCCATCGCACACATCAAATCCCTCGGCATCTTCCTCGAGCCCGGCGACGTCGTATACGACTCACTCACATCCCTTGCCTCTATCTTTGCGAAATATGACACCGTCATAAGCTGCACAGGCTTCGTCGGCCCGGCCGGAACACAGCTACGCATCTGCGAGGCGGCTCTAATGGCCAAGGTTCCGCGGTACTTTCCATGGCAATTTGGCGTCGATTATGACATCATTGGACGAGGCAGCACGCAGTCGTTGTTTGACGAGCAGCTTGAGGTGAGAAACATGCTGCGGACTCGGTGCAGCACTGAGTGGATCATCGTTAGTACTGGTCTCTTCATGAGCTTCCTATTTGTAAAGGACTTTGGCGTTGTCGATTTCGAGGAAAAGAAGTTGAGGGCTCTTGGTGGCTGGGATGTTGAGATTACGCTCACACAGCCGGATGATATCGCGAGAATGACGGCTGAGTTGGTGTTTGAGCCCCGTGGGGTTCCTAGCAATAGCCAGAATGTTGTGTATGTTGCTGGGGACACTGTCTCATACGGGACTATGGCGGGCTTGGTTGAGGAACGGTTCCCGGGGGTTGAGTTCGGCAGGGAAGTGTGGAATATGGAGGCGATCAGGGAGAGTCTTGCGCAAGATCCCGGGAACAACTGGAATAAGTACCGCGGAATATTTGGTGCGGGCGAGGGGATCTCTTGGCCGTTGGAGAAGACGTTGAATCATGAGCGAGGTATCAAACTGGAGGATTTACAAACTTTTCTTGGAAGGATGGAGACGCCAGCCTCACTCAAGTAGGTGACGTAGGCATACAAGCCGAATAGATAGAAGTCATTCTCTCAAAGACCAATTGAACTTTTCACAATATAACGTAGTCAATCTAAACCAACAACAGAACCAAATAGTTTACATCCTTGACTCCGGAACATGATCTATCCCCGTTCAATATCCCCTAGTTAAGAATGATAAACATGGTCTTACCAAATCCAAAGTCATCCATCGTCTATCCAACTTTGCGAGAAGAATTCGCAATTCATTCAGCCCTTTGTAATAAACTCATGCTCTAGCAGTAAAATATCATCGCAAGGGCAACATGCACAGCCAAGATGAACGACCACCCAGCAAAGGGCCCCTTGATGCCAGCCGCATTACGGTTGCGGTCATTGTCATCATCATCGTCGTCGTCATTGTCATTATCGTCATCTTCGTTCAAAGTCTGAGGCACATCGCTCCCCGCGACGACATCCTTCGCACGGACGCAGTGCAGAGTAGCCCGACTCTCCGCAGCATCGCCAGAGCCACCCCAGGTCAGCATCACGGGCCAAATCATCCGGCTCGCGATAGCATACTCGCCACCTCGGCGACGGTCGTTGTTGTTGTTGTCGTTGTTGCCCCAGTTATAGGCTTGGGATCCGTAGGCGAAGATTTGAGATCCAGAGGCGATGTTGGGAGCTGTACAAGCAAGTGTGTAAGCTGCTATCCTTTGACTGCAAGAATATTCTGGTACAATGAGAACTTACAGTAACCAAAGCGCTCATCCTTGGCATCCTCGAGGAAATCTTTGCATTCGCTGGGCAGGTCGGCGACCCCGCAAGACCCAAACTGACCAGAGGATGTGTCCAAAAGCTTCTGGCGGCACTCGGCGGAGAGAAAGGCACCGCAGTCGCCGCTGTCATCTTGAGACCCGCTTCTAGCCACCCGATCCAGCCTTGGTATGAAGATGTTGACGCATAGCTTCCAGCCTGCGTCGACTTTTTGTTGTCCACCGACTTGTTTGAGGTTGATGGAGGAACCGGTGAAGTAATTCCTATTTCCGCTCCTGTTCCTGTTCCTATTGTTGTCGTTATCGTCATCATCGTCGTCATCGTCATCTCTACTTCTGAGCCGATATGACAACTGCTGCAACTGTCGCTTATCGTTGCGAGTGGTATGAACACGCGCAGCGACGTTGACGCTGATGTCAAAGGGGATCCCGGTCCAGGTGGAATCGTTGGCTGGCGGAAAGGCAGCAGATACGTCTGGGCCGTTGAAGCGGTAGGACGTCGTCAGGTTGGGATGGTCCATTGCCGAGTCCCAGTCTGCTGTGCTGATGCCGTGAGGTGCGCCTGTACCCCGGACGACGGAGAAGTCTCGATCTGCAAGAGACGGGCCCGCCGCTGCCATGATGGCGAGTGCTGTTTGGAGGTAGTGCATGTTGTATGATGAAGACGGGTCTTGATGACTTCAGTTGATTGCGGTGGGAGGTAGTAGTGAATAATTTTCGAAACCAAGAAGAGAGAAGCATCCCGTGGTTTATATCGTCTCGAGTATTCTACTTTTCTCTGCATCCGAAGACATCTTGCTTTCCTCCGGTGACTTTGCCAAGACTTTACATGTCGTCGGGGACAGATGCCCAAGCTAAAAGCGCACGTCACACCTCAGAACTGTCTTATAGCCAATCGGCGGACTCCCGACATATTCTGTACTCGTTGACGAGGTACAAGCATGCGAGAGCGATCCTGATATTGTGGCGCTTCTCAATCCTCCGAGAGCGGGCGGAGATCGCTCCCAAAGACGCGGCGACGGGCGACGATGTATGCCAAGACGCAGATGAGCAATTATCAAGTCAAAATAAAAATTGACAACAGAGGGGATAAACTTTTGATTAAGCTTAGGCTGGGATCGTTCCCACATTGGTGGTTCTGGTGATCCATCGTGATGGCGGGTTTGCCGACCTAACCGGCCGTTTTAGCCGGCTTGGTGTTGAGGACCTTGGCTTCGTTTGACTACATCTCATCGCAACAGAAAAGCCTAATCAGCCGAAGAAAATACTAAAAACAGGAGAATTCAGCTAGAAACGCATGTTGATGTAGTAGATTGAGACAAAGAAATGCTTCTATGATCTGCCTGTGAAAGAACTCCTGTAGCCGAGCTGCATAGCCTCGAATGGCACAAATGCAATGCTCATTATCTCGGCACGTGTAGTAAATGCATGTAAGCCTCAACTCAAGTGCTCCGTAACTCCTTTGCTTCAATAAATTTACAAGGTCAAGCCGCGAATAACGGTCATATTATTCATTTATTACATCTAGGTCGTTCTTTGTCAAGTGGTGTAGGGCAAAAAGTCAAATACATGTGAGACCACTTAAACAACGACGTCTAGTCTTTTGTGACGTACTTTGCGGAACGCATTACAGCTGCGCTTGAGGGTGATATAGAAACAGCCGTCTCATCTTATTACGATAGAACAGCATGTAGCGAGTTTAAGCGCTGGCAACTCTTCGATTTTGGCTTCTTCAATGCACTCAAAGCCCGAGAATCGCAAATTACCATTTTCTAGGACCCTACACTGAAGCAGTCATCCGGTTGCTTGCAGCGATCGTTGTACCAGAGCCACGCCCTCGCAGGGTTTCTAAAAGACCAACAGCTGGTAAATGGTGTTAATTGCTGCCCGCAATCAGAGGTGCGACTTTTAACAACAGAAATAAACAACTTCCGAAACTTACGCGGAGAAGAGCAGAATTGACCCGAAATGGAGGCGCGGACACCAGCAGTGGCATGGCAGGCAGGCAGAGAAAACGATTCAAGAGGAATTAATACGGAGCGGCGGCGGAGCAGGCCGGGCAGCCCGGAGGAAGGTTCGCGGTAATAACCAAGTCAGACCGAGACGGGGTCGGGCGATGACGTGGATACATATTGGGGGATGCGTAAGTCGCAAACTCGCAATTGACTCGGCTCACTCCTTTTCATTTCCCGCGGTCGCCGGATGGCTTATCAGTAACGCAAGCGAAAGATGTCTAGAGAGTCTGGACTGTTCATCCCGTCAAAGAATTGGAGATGTACGACGCCATTCCCCTGCCAAGAACTGAAAGTGCTGTCGGGGCGAATGCGAGGCTATAGAGTATCTCGTTCTCGTTTGGATGATGCAGCCTCCCACATCACTTGGACAGCGACATGAGAGCTGGTGCATGTTGCCGGTGCTCAGTCTCCAATTTTCTGTAAAGTTAAAACAAGTCCTTAATGCCGGAAGATCTGTTTTTCTAAGATCATCGCTCAACTAGAAACTAGCTGCGGTGATCGGGAATATCTCCAATTGGCCCCTCTCAACAGTCGGTCGCGAAAGTTGATCGATCTACAAACGGCCATGCAGCACAGGCTGTCCGCACAGCATTGACTCTAGTATTGAGTTTCGCGCAGCTTTGAAAGCTAGCCACATGTTCAACACTTCGCAAGACTCGAATTGAGTTTTCTCTTGTTTTCAGAGACGGCAACACGCACAAACCAGTCTTGGCCCCGAGGACCAGCTCTTAATGGTTCTCCTGGCTGGTTAAGTGACAGAGTTTCGGGAAGAATGAGCTTGAGTCAATCGCCCTCACAGAGATTTGGCAAGTGGCACTCAGGGCAAACCTAGTTACCCAGTCGCCAGCATCGTAGCACAGGCACAGCCCAGGATTTTCTGCCCCTATTTCCTTATGATGTTTCGTTCCAACTGGCGAGCCTCGGCGCCAAGGTACGTCATGATAGCAGATGTGTTCTTCTAGCGCGGCCTACCAAACCTGGTGTCTGCGAAAGCATGAAATTATTCGAGATGTTCTGGAAAACGAACCAGGGATGCATCTGCAATGGAGCAGATAATAGAGAACTCGTGCCTTGCAGCGGGTGACGCCTTCATAATCGGCGAGCTACAACATCCGACGAGCCGCTAAAAGACTGCCAAGCATCTGACTATTAGATCGATACCGAGTTTCTCATACCGCTTCTATTCTTGTTCGTCGCGCGACATTCGGGCGGGTAGTGCGACATGGCCTATGGGGCACCAGGGGCGCGTGAGCTGCAGGGGGATCGTAATCTTCCTGATGCAAACAAATCGCCCACAACAGTCAAGATACAATGATGGCTTTCAAGATCTGAATCGTCCAGCCTTTTGGCATTCTCGGAGGTCCTCCGATACTCCGTAAGACCAATCATCGCATGAAGCCTGATGCACAGGATTGATGTCGCACCTCATCCCGCCTCTCTCAGTCAGTATTAACAAGCACGAGGGCTGCAATCCTGGGCTGCGGCAACGTGGTGATCCCGAGACGGCATTGAAAGCTCTTTGTTCAAGACATCTTTAACGAAGGCCAGACCACCCCGTGATCAGCGTTCCCTTGGATTATTCGACGTTCCACGAATCACCTAATCAGATGAATTCGATTCTGCTCGGCATCCGAAAACGATATGGGGGCTGACGTTGCAGTGCGGAGGCAACCACCTCGACCCAAAATCTTGATCCTCGACAAGCGGGAAGCCACAGCTTTTGCTGAGTCTGCTCAACAGAAAACACGGCAGAAAATTATGGCTTTGGGCAGCAGACGCGGGAGGCAAAACTGTGAGCACTTGCTGACCAGGTTGGCTCGGCCCCCACCTGGCTCAAGGCGGCCGGGACACGTCCGGTCTCTTGTAAATGACCCTCTGCTCATCAAAAGGCCCGGACTCCGGAAGGGTGGGTGAGATACTCCGATCGCCCACCGGCAGGCAAAAACTTCATGGCTAAATCAGTACCAACAGCCGGGGCAGCTACAATGTGAGAGACGGCTGTATCAGACTTTTCTGTTTGAATGGGATTCTTTTCTTCTTTGCAGACTGCACGGTGCTAGGGCCGTCCCCCCGATGGCCGATGTGTGGCCTCACCATCACATCACGTATCCCCCATAATAGGGGCCAATATGTGCGGCTGCATCACCGGTATTGACCTGCAGCGTGTCCTTGCAAGGCCACCCTTGTCATATATCCGATGACATATAGTTCCCTGCCGCACTGATTCTCGAGTTTTCTTGATACGATCTACCAGTGCCGCGGTTCAATACGGAGCCAGCCTGAGGACAAAGTTATTATGCATCTCCAGCTCGACCGCCGATCAGAGACAGATATCGGATGGGATCTTCAATAATTCAGTCTCTATATCGTCTGATCCGAAGAGGCCGGCGTCGCGCCAGCTTGATGCCACGTGAACGAGCAAGGCGCCGACAGCGCAGAATGTGAACACTTGGCGACCGACCTGCGAGGTGATAGCATGCTCAGACATCAGCGGGCGATGGAAAAGCAGGGGAAGCCTCCATGTTGCTCTATCCGTACGGATACCGTCATCACCATCAATATTCCGTAGATTGACCGACCATTCTATCCCGCCAAGGCCCTTGCCCATCTCCTTCTTCGTCCTCGCGGCCGCGCCAGCTCTACGTCCTGACACGGGAAGAGCAATATGGGAATATGGGCATCATGAAGTTTTTTCGTCTGAGAAAGTCTTGGCACTGCTTTGGAAAACTGGAGATGGTGGAGTTGTTAAGATAGACGCCTTCACGGTGGTTGGCTTGGCTGACTTGTGACCCCCTTGGAGAAGTTGGCGCTGGGCACGACTGTTTCGAAACGTCCTGCAAGGGGCAAGTTCGACATTGAGAAGTTGGAGTTGGGCCCCCCCAGATGTCTGACAGGGGAAGTGGGCAGCAAGAAATCCCGAGTGTGGATATGTGTGTTGGTGCTTGAGAGGCGTGATGGTGCGTGCATGTGTGAAGCTGAGTGGTGACTTTGGGTGAGAACCTGAGAAAGAATGCGAGGAGCCTCTCATGTTGGTGTGGGCGCGTGGCTTAGCTGCTGCTGCCAGGGGCTCTTCGAGCCCACCCATCTGGACGATCACTTTATTCCAGACCTGGGATTCGTCTGTGTTCAAGCTTCCGGGCCAAGAATGATCGAATTAAAGGGCAGGCCTGACTAGTCAGGTACCCGGGGTCCCCAGTCGAGCCGTCCGATGCCACAAGAGACTGTCACTCGAGGTTCTGCTGCCCTCTTTGGGCAACGACCTGCGCGCGGACAATCAAGTTGGGATGAGTCCATGTCCCAACTCGGGCGTTGGCTCCGTTCCTACGATGGAGACGGGCTCCTGATGGTAACTCCATGAACATGGAATGCCACACGCAGACCACCTGGGCGACGTTGGCGCCGTTGGCAGCATAGGATTCAGCTCTACGTGAGCCCACTTTACGATACCTGGTGGATTCTGTGACTCTAGTGCGATCTTCACTGCCTGCATCGACGCTTTCATTTCCTCCGCGTCGCCTGTTGATTGATGCTGTATTCACTGCGGAGGAGATGGAGCACCTGGTCTTGGCACGCGTTGAAGCAGGATTGGGCCTCGTCGAATACACTACCGAAGTAGTCTGGACGAGCCTCTGGGCCCACGAGGGTGTTCGGTAGTAGTGTAACTCCAATGTCGACTCAGATATGGACCTGGGCAGACACAATTCGTTCCACTCCAGACATCTCACTCGATATAAGTAACCTCGAGATGTCCAGCCAAGAGCTGGTTCTGTTCTCATTACCTCCACCTCATTAACCTTTTCAACTTCTTTGTTCATCACACTCTTTCAAGCAGGCTTGAACTATTTCTTCATTCTCTCAAGTAGACAAGCCTTTATTCTCTCTATCTTCAACCTTGCCTCTTATACATCAACCCCATCAACAACCCACACAACCACATTCACAATGAAGTACTCTTTCGCCATCGCCCTCAGCACCCTCGTGCTCGGCATCACCGCCGCCCCCGCTGCCAACGGTGCCGCTCAGGGCAACGCCATCGCCCACGCTGAGCGCGGCTACTTCGACTTCCTCCACCACGCCGCCCGCGCCGAGAAGCCCACCAAGACCAAGTCCTCCAAGGCGGCTAAGAAGACCAAGCACTCCACCAAGACCCGCCACCCCGGCTCCATCATCACCTCCGCCCCCGGCGCCCCCGGCAACGGCACCAACAGCCAGTTCGAGATCCGCGCCAGCAACGGCACCGCCGCCGCCGGTCTCCCCGCCTCCTCCGGCACCTCAGTCCTCAAGGCCGCCCAGACCGTCGCCGCTGGCGCCTCCTTCGATGGTGGCATGAAGGCTTTCGACCGTGGTGTCTCCTGCACTGGCCAGGCCGAAGGCGACGACTCTGACGCTGTCTTCATCCTCGAGAAGGGCGCCAAGCTCTCCAACGTCATCATCGGACCCAACCAGATCGAGGGCGTCCACTGCAATGGTGGCTGCACTCTCGACAATGTCTGGTGGGCCGCCGTCTGCGAGGATGCCTTCACCATCAAGAAACAGGATGCCGGCGAAACCACTACCATCACCTCCGGCGGAGCCTTCGGGGCTGAGGACAAGGTTCTTCAGCACAACGGCGCCGGTACCCTCTCCGTCAGCGGATTCACCGTCGAGACCTTTGGCAAGCTGTACCGCAGCTGCGGCAACTGCAAGTCCTCGTACGAGCGCCACGTCATTCTCGACAACATCAACGCCTCTTCTGGAAAGCTCCTTGCTGGTAAGCTCCTCCCATACACAAATCTGTTTCCTCGTTTACAATTATGCTAACTTGTTTCGCTCGCAGGCATCAACTCCAACTTTGGTGACACTGCTACCTTCACCAACATCGTCGCCAAGAGCGTCACGGAGGTCTGCACTGAGTTCAAGGGTACCACTCCCGGCAACGAGCCCACGGAGATCTCCAGCGGTCCCTCTACTGCCTGCAAGTACGCCACCTCTGACATCCAGAGCTCTTAAGCGCCAACGGAGATCATCGCGAGATCTGACCGGGCACCTTTTTTCCCGAGTTGAGAGATCATACGTGCCCTATATTCAGTGAAGAGGGCATTCTAAACCTAGGCTTGTTCACTTGTAGATATTCTTCATTCTCGTACATTCCAAAAAGCGTGTGTATCTAGAATTCAAAGCCCTGTGGGCAATTACCATCATTCTATGTCTAATTAATAATTGCCGTGAATGCTGAAAATGGCTGTGATTCCATGAGGTAAGTTCTGCACGTCCGGCGTCACAGGAGCGTCTCGACACATCGTGTAGTGAAGAGATAAGTCTGTCCAGAGCATCATGTTCGAAGCCTTCGGTAGACACCTATCGATTATATATCCGTTTCAATTGCTGTCGATCCAAGTTCCAAACTTGAGGCTTATTCAGAGGCTTGAGAGTTCGTGTCGAGCATCTGCTCAGGGGCAAGGGCACTCCTTATTGATTCGCCGCCACATGCAGATGAGACGGTGAGGCTGGGACATTCATGTGACATGACTTTTTTCATTGGGCTACGAATCTGACGCAAGCTATGAGGGAGGAAAGAGAAGGCATCTCACTAAGTCAGCTGTCCCGGGTTTGCGTTAGTGTTTACGATGCATTGAGGGGAGCAGGTGTAAGAACATGAGTTTTGCTATCCGGGAGGTGGTTTTGTAGGTGAGTTCGGGTATGTCATTATCTTGAGGACCTCTCTGAAGAATAACAGATGTCATATTCAAGCACTCAGTCAACTTTTGATCAGGGGCAGGTCCTGCGTGGACAATTTCTATACCGTGGTGACACGCGCTTTGGACAAGTCGCTGTGGACGACCCCCTCTGAATATTTCTTAACTGGTCACTTGGATCGGCAATTTCAGCAGCGAGTCTGTCTCGGTCGCCTGCTACACTAGCCATCTCCTCTCAGCTATCTTTTCTCTCTGAAAGGTTCTTTACTATTAGTTGCAGCTTCGATTACATTCCAAGGTCACCGTAGCACGTATGTTTTGCCGGATATATGATGAAGTCTATCCGGTCTATGATATCCTCCCCAGCATTGCGCAGAAGTAAAAATGTAGCTTGAAGAACTAGTACACCACTTATATCAGATTCTTCTACCTTAGATAACGGAGTAGTGTGATTTCGTTGAGCTTAGGAAGCAGAGTGAATGACTCGCAGCAACTCCATAAACCAAACGGTGTTAGTCCTTGAGATATTATCCTACTTCGCCTCGTTCTTCATACACTTGGAACCGCAGATAGCAGGGCCACCTTTCAAAGCATCATCCCACTTAGTCATACCCAGCTTCTTGATGTCCTGAGTCAACTCAGCATTGCCCAGATCCATCAAGGCCTCCAGCACGGCCGACAAGGATTCATGATCCGGCCCATCTCTGTTGATGCTAATTGCATGAACGGCAGTAGTGCCAATGTTGCCGTTGGGAAACATTGGCGGGGTCTCATGGACAACCATGAAAGGGAGGTCCTTCGCGTCCATTCCCCAGAAGATCACGGACCAAGACTGCATAAAGCCCTTTCCAGGACCGTCCAAGATTGTGTTATCAAAAACAGCGTCCCAGTCGGAGTTCAAAGTAGGAAAGTTCAATCGACGAGGGGTGTTGTAGGCTCGAACGGAGGCCACTTCATGACCACCGCCGCCGATAGCGCCATTGCGGGCGGTTTTATTGTCGGCTGGGGTCCAGGTGGTGATTTCATTGAGCTCTCCCGCCAGAGTTCCTGGACTACAGTCTGCCGTGTTGTTCTTCTCACAGGTGGCGATGGCAGGACTGAGGTCCCACTGCAAGTTGCCATACGTGAGGTAGGACGTTCCGGAAGTATTTCGAATGGACCAGGTGCCAGCGAAGAAGCCAGCAGGAGGGGCCACAAAGCCAGAGCCCGGCGCGCGGCATCCAGAAGTAGCGTTTCCAGTGCTGTTGACCGCTGGATCAAGAAATGGGGGAAGGCGCACCAAAAGCTCTGATGGCGGACAAGAGCTTCCGGAAGTGAAGGCCGAAACTGAGGCTGCCGGGGCGAGGCAAGCCAAAGCGAGAGTTAGGAGCATATTGGGGAAAGTCTGAGGTTGTGTAATGAGCAGCCAGACCTGAATGAGTGCAAGAATCTTTGCTTGAATAACAGTTCGTAGTGAAAACGTTGATGGTGTAGAGACTGAGATTTCTTGGAGGGCACATCCACCTTATATGTTTCTACCTCACATTAGATGGACTCGATTATCTCGCCATACTAGGAGCCGTCGGGACCACGCGAGGTGAGTGCGAGCCCATAGCACCCAGCATTTGACGAAGTTGGCAATGATCGATGGATTAAGTCACTGCCTAAAAATGCCAATGCCAAGGCCCAGCCTTGTTCGTTATTTACGGCGACGATAACATTTAGGGCTTCGGACTACGATGGGGCGGGACAGTGGAAAACCAGGCTGGCGGATGTATTGCTCCAGAGGCATTATGATACTCGTCATCTACCGTACGTGAGAAAGCAATAGCCACAGCGTCAATTCAAGCGCGAGCAACCAGTGTGCGTTGAATCCGAAACCCGAGGCGGCACTTACCGGGGCGGCGCTTACACACGAGCACCCAAGCCATGCGTTCGAGATTTAGCGCCGAAATGGGGGCAGCGCAATCTGCTGGTTGCGCTGACCTCGGGTAGTACGCGAGGTTTAGGTGCAGTGCGAAGGATGATTAACCCTGTCTATTGTCCATATCTCGTTAGTCTCAAGACCTGGGCTCGTGGTGACTTCGGGTTTCTCGCAATCTCAACCACGGGTGAACAGCAGACTCCAATCATCTTCTAACCCATCAGAGCACCATAGTCTCCGGCAATCCACGTCATAAAGCACATGCGATCTTTCCGAGATTTCCGCTTCGCGATTTCAAGCCTACGAGCTCATTTGGCCTTTCTTGAGCTCACCAGCCACGCGCCTAGCATGCCTTCTGGACGCAGTGCGACCAAGTCCCGACACGGGTGCGACCGCTGCAAGCAGCGTCGGGTTAAAGTATGTGATTTGCTACCCTACACATCGGACGCAATGAATGATGAGATTTTGTTCGGACACAATTGAAGCTCCCATCAAAAGACCTATGCTTACCGACATGCTAATAGTGCAATGAAAGGGCACCTTGCGGAAATTGCATCAGAAGGAAGGAACACTGCAGTCTGCTGGATAGTCAAAACCCTCCTCCGCCAGCCTCACAGTTGTGCGACAACCCGACCCTTGACATTAAACACCCTGAAGCAACATCATGGGCGTTCGATCTTTTCCTGATGAGTCACTTCTCTACGGAAACTGTACATACGTTCAGTAGCTTTCCTTCGGTGATCGATGCCTGGCAGACCACCATCGTCAGCGACGCATCATCGTGCCCCTTTCTCCTCCATGGCATGCTCGCTATCTCAGCCCTGCATCTTGCCAGTAAGCACGGATCTGCAAACAACGATGACTGTCAACACAATCATCAAAATTACACGCACCGTGACTATATGCGTGCTTTCAGATATCATCAAGACCAGGCCATGCCGGAATACCGCCGCAAGCTGCAAGCTCTAGACTTCAGCGGCAACGAGGAATTCGCAGTCCGTACCAAACAACCATGGCCGGCAGGTCCGGTTTACTCCATGGCCGTCCTGATAGCTTTCACGTCTGCCGCCGGCGTCTCTGACCACTCTCCTTCACTGAACCGGAACCAACGCGACCTGGATGGGGAACACCATGAGCAAAGGACCGTCCTGTCACAAACTTTATCGCCTGCATCGGGCGAGACTTCCCGATTGGAAATGGTCTTCGATCACTTAATGGAGATATTTGTGGCCACTCGAGGTACGCGTGTCATAGTCAGAGCTGGACTCGACACGGGGGCCTTTCAAACGACAGCGTATCGTCATCTGATCACCACCTCCACCGTCGCAAGCCAATTTCCGCTCTGGTCTACTTCTCCGACAATTTCGCAGTGGTACAAAACTCTCCGAACACAATGTCTGGAAGAATTAGTTGGTGACGGCACAGTCGAGAGATCTGAGGCTGATATCTGTGCCGCTGCAATTACCTGCTTGGAAGAGGTTCATGACGGCGCTGCTCGACTGTTGGAGGCCAAGAAAGAACGATTATGGCAATCTAGACGTGACAACAAATCGCTTCGGTATGATTTTGTTTGGTTAATGAAGTGGACAGCAATGGTGTCACAGGAGTTTGTCGCCCTGTTGCATGAAAGGAATACTGCGGCTCTAGTGGTTCTTGCACAGTTCATTGCCACTTGCGAGTCAATCGAGCACCAGTGGTATTTAGAGAAGTGGGCGAAGAACGCGATGGATGCGGTCAGGCATCTACTTGGCTCAAGCAATGCCAATGCCAATGCATGGGTTGATAAGATTGTAGGACATTGGCCTAGTATAGATCCGGATTTAGTCTCCCCTGGACTGGAAGGAAAATGAAGATCTGCAAGTGTTGCATTATTTGAACCTGAGCATTTGGCCAAGAATTTGGTGAGAGCTGACTGGAAGGCGTAGAGACAAGATGTTCCTTCAGGGAAGCGGGGTTTGAAGTGAGAATGGTCGTTGTTGGTGGTTGCGGGTATCCCGAGGAGTCCGAGCCGTTGAATGTGTCACTCCAGTTGCCCAATCGCTTTGACATGCGATGGTATGAAGAGCCGCCTTACTATCAGTTAGCGCCTCGGATCGAACGCGAGGTGTCCGTCAGTCTTGTAATTACACATTCTAGTGTCAATCTAGCACTGCGGTAGCCAGGATATTATTATGAAAGAGCGAACTGCGGAGCTATTTGGTTCTCCCACGTCATCTTGAAGCTTCGCAACCTGTAAGCCCGCAGCTATCCCTGATCAACCTATTCGATAACGGATTCGCTAGACGACTTGCTCTTGGCTGCCTGGGCCTTTGATTTAAAGCCGGTGCGATGCCACTGCCCATCGGCATCAACATTCGTTCACCAGATAGCACTATACAACACACCCTCTTCTGACTTTCATCAATCTCCGTTTCATCTTCCCTTCGCCAACTGTCTAGCACAGAGCTTGCACCATTATGCTCCTTTTCCGAGTACCCTTATGGTCGTCCCTGCTAGCAATAGGAAGCGTCCGAATTGTAGCAAAACCTGCGGGTTCATGTCAAGTATGATTACTTTCTCTTATCGTAAGGCCTCTGTTACTTATTCTGACCTTCGGTTTTCCTCTTTCAGGGCGTTCCTACCCCTATTTCGTATCCGAAAGCTCCAGTACTTGAGGATTCCCAGAATCTTACAAGTGTCCCATTCACCGGCGAAGCAGCTGAATGCAAGCCATTATCGGCCCCTTTCATCTGGCTTCCGGAAGCGTCATCGCTGCATAGCGATGGCGGCAATTCCGGCGGTCAGGACTTTCCCGGACCGCGCGGTGTAAAGACACGCACCAGCGCAAAAGCCCAGCCTGCCTTCGTCTTCCTCTGGGGCCAAGACAATCAACTGACGTCGGGCTACATCAATACAACCACCTTGAAGTACGGACTGGTGGCACTGGATCCGGATTCGATGGACGTACTTGCGGCGTGGTACCCAGAAGATGACAACCAAGCGCTGAACATCCCATACATGGAGTACATTGTCAAAACGAACGACGTTCTAGTCAGTTCGGCCCAGGGCATGATCTGGGTCGTGCATCGTGATACTTGCCAGGGACGCCCTTACTTTAAAACCACGCGTACCGTTGATCTGCGCCCTCAACTGCAAGAAGGTGATCAGTTGCTCAACGCCATGTTTGACATCGAGAAGAATATCTGGTTCACTACTGGTGCAGTGCAGCTCGACACCAGCGCCAACGGTACGTTGGCCAACTCAACCACATATGGCTACATCACGCCTAGCAACAAAGTACACAAAGCTCAGCTTGATGGCGAAACGGTCGAGAATGGAATAGCTGTGGCAGGCACCGACGTTTACATGGTCACAAGCCCGTCTGGCAAATTCAATACACCTAATGCGCCGGGCTACATGTATTCGCTGACGACTAAAAGCGGCTCTGAAGGTGGGATTAGCACACGTTGGCGAGTCCCCTATTCCGCAGGTGAACGAACCGAACTTGACCCCAACACGGCTATTTCGGCGCGCGGCTCCGGTGCGACGCCTGCGTTGATTGCCGATAAGTATGTGGCCATCACCGACAACGATACTCCTCGCCTGCATCTCAATGTGTACCATCAAGCGCCACAGGCGGAAAGTAGCGCTCAACTCTTGTGTCAGGTGCCGTTGTTTATGGACAACAAGGGCTCGGTGCAGAACAGCGTGCTAGCTCATTATGATACCCAGCAAAAACAGTCCGGAATCATGATACTCAACTCGTACGGCGGGCCAGCATTTTTCACCGGCCAGGACGGACAGGACATGAATGGCAAGTTCAACAACATGAGAGGTATGGCCGGCGGAATTACGCGCGTCGATGTCGACGAGCACGGCAACTGTTCGGTGCGCTGGACCAAAGATACCAAGTCCAAGGGCGTGTCTGTGCTCTCCACCAACAACGGGCTGGTCTACCACTATGTCCAGGACGACCAGCGTGCTATGACGGATGACGAGTACGTGTGGTATCTCATGGGCCGCTCCTGGGTCACGGGCGAAGAAAAGTTCAAGGTGCACGCTGGCAGCGGTGGCGCTTTCAACGACAATTGGAACAGCGGCGCCTTGGGCCCCTGTGGAACCTTTTATCAGTCCGTTTCCGGAGGCATCGTGGCTTTCAAAGACGGAGGTGATAGTAGTTGTTAGGCTAGACTTGGGTGAACTCGAATATTCTAGATGCGTTCTGGATAAGGTTCTGTGCTGAGTACGGCGATGGAGTGACCATAAATCGGCCACAGGATAGTCAGGGGATGGTGGATTTGCTGTGAAGCCAAATATAAAATCCATTCAGACGGTCTCTAAAGTAGCTAGCTTAACGTTCTAACGCGCTCCAATACCATAAATCATACACCAGTATGCTGTGACACTTACACCTAATGCACCTTGTACCATTGAGATCATCCCAATTTATCTCCTTCTCCTATTAAGAAAGGAAAAAAAAATAATACCCGGACTTTGTAACATCATGTGAGCGAGCGTGTGATCGATGCCTTGCATCTTGAAGGTACGTCAAGAACAGCACATTTTCGATTTTTCAGAACAACGTTCTGATACACGGGCTCGATTTCGTCACAAATTCCGCACTGCATGCGTTGTCAGCAATACATCCGTGCGAAGTCCGGAATGTCATTCCCCTTTTCACAACGAGCAGACGGTTCGCCTTTCAAGAATCATAGATGGACAGATCGAGAGGGGGGTCTTCACAGTCATTTAAGCGATTCAACCCACTCTAGAAAGGCTGTTAGCGACGTACCTTAACGACTGGCACATCTCGGGCTCCCTTTGACACTCTCATCGCCTACCTTACCACTTACTCGCTGAATTTCTTGAATAGCGCAGCCCGTTGATGTTGTTCAAGAACTTGAGGTTTGCGCTACTGCAATGTCCTTCTTCTCCAGACTTTCGAGATTTCATGTCCCGACAGACCAGCAGTCTGTTGATTCTGATTCGGACTAAACTCGAACTTTTCAACGCAGCCGCATTATTCTTATTTGTAGCCTTGTCGTCGACGGCTTCTTGTGAGGCTTCTCTATTGCATCACAATCAGATGGCTTGCAACGCACATTCAAGCGTTCGTTGAGCTCTCTGCTCTCTCATGATTCCGTGGTTGAAGGAGATCAATCTCGAGGGCTCTATCATACTGGCGATGTAGTTACTCTCTTCGATGTCTTGGCCCACGATTATAATGACGAAGCAGGCAATTGCGCTTATAAAACTGAGTCGATATTGAGCAAACTCCCGCCCGATGTTCATTTCATTTTACTGTCTTGTATCTATTACGCATGAGAATTGAAAAGATGCATTCTCGTTTGGGATACCTTCAGAGATTCTCATCTCGGAGCATGCTCGACTCATGCGAGTAAAAGGTATTGGAGATCGACTGTATGAGTATCTAACACACAATCTCGCAGAGTGATGTTGGGAAAATTCATCGGTCTTTTGCGACTTCAAACGTCTTCTATGACAGCTTCGCCAATGTTATGGAAAGCACAAGGCAACTGCAGTCTCGTTTGTCACGTCCAGATTTGAGCTGTTTCCCCCTCGGATTTGAACTATGCGGCAGATCCATCACAGCTCGTAGCATCACTCAAGGAGCTTGAGTTTCGATTTGAGGAACCACCCACTAGGTCTTTGCTGCAAAGTATCGAGCATCGTCACAAAGTTTGGAAGAGTCTGCCAGTACCAACCTTCAGCAGTACGTCCGTCAACAGGCAAGCTCATGGGTACTGCACGCCCTTTTGTGGGCATTTGAACCTGTCGTGTTCCTCAGCAAGTGGCTTGAAAAGTATAGTGCCACTGTATCTTCTCTGAAAGAAGGCGAGTTCCAACTCGTTGATGAGAGCATTGCTTGATCTTGCGTGGCCCTTTTCACTGACCAACGATTAAGATGCAGCATACCAACGTTCAGTCAAATTACTCGGCACGGCCACATCAACATTTGCTAGACGCCGAAGAGTTGCCACTTGACCCCGACGCAGGAACATTGTCGTGGTCGACTTTGAAATTCTAGGGGAGTGTCTTACAGGGGATTGAGACAAAGGCATTCGCAACACGTTTGGGGAAAACTCTTGACATCTTGGCTGAGTTTCAGAGCGAGTCTCTAGTAACTCCACATTAGACCATATCACACTCTGCATCTCGCGAACGAACAGCCGACTAGGCATTGACACCAGAGGGACCCATTCATTCCGTCAAAGAGCAAAAATCGCCAAGGTACAGCTGATGTCAGGTTGCAACAGCATATCACGATGGTACGCGGACTCCCCACAAACACTGCTGGAAACAAAGCCCCGACCCACTTTATCGGTGACTTCTCCAAGTCGGTGACCCCTTCTCCAAACATCCGATGATTGAGGATGATGCTGGGGCTTCAGCAATGAGCCTACATAATGACGACGCTGCATCATTTAGAGCATGTTTTACGACGCTTAATCTTCCTCTGCATGAGAATTCATTTGCTTTTCCGCATACTACCTAAGTACACATCACCTGAAAACGCCCCAAGAACCCGACAGATTTGACCTCGGAGACCCACATCTCTGCTCTCAGTCAACAGTAGGAGCAAATCCTTCAGTGTAATTCCTGAGCGTATGCAAGTTTCTGAGATATTCTATTACACATAAATCGCAAGATTTCAATGTATTCATGGATTAGTTTTCCCGGAGCTAGATACTGATTATGATTCTCACAGAATCCCCACCACACAGCTAGAACCATGTCTTCAATCAAGTTCAACACCCCTCCTGGCGCTGGAAAGATTTATGGCGAGGCCTGCCACTACTCACAGTCCGTGGACCTCGGCAACGGCATCGTGAAGTGCGCTGGACAAGGTGGCTGGGATCCGGAGACGGGCGCGCTCGACGCGAACGACACCAAAAGACAGGTTGAGCTGGCGATCGAGAACGTCGACATTGTCCTCAAGGCAGCGGGCCTCCGAGGATGGGAAGACGTCTACTCACTGAGGTCATATTCATGCGATATCCGGACCTCTTTCGATTTCATTGTCCAGGGCTTGAAGGCACGGATTCCCGATCATCGACCTATCTGGACAGCAATTGCTGTGCCTCACCTGGCCCTTCCGGGAATGTTGATTGAGCTGGAGGTCGAGGCCAAACGTCAGGCTTAGTTAGGTAACATGTGTTCTGTATGTTGCGCAGTAGAGGTCAGCTTAATATATGAAGACGACGACCCCCGTTTCCACGTTTTGATATCACAACCGTTTCCGACTTTCAACATCTATCAGTCAAGCCGGCCCGTACCAGTGAAGCGGGCATGTGAACTCGGCCGAGATCTCCACTTCGTTGCAGGTGACATGCTCCGACTTTGATTTTTGGTTGTGTTGCTGTCTCAAATACAAGCTTATCCAACATTAACCAATAGCCTTGAAAGAGGGCGGGCTTTGGCGATGAAACTCAGGTTATGCACTCACACATGTAAAGCATGCTGTTCTCTCAAGGTGTTGAAGGCAATTTCCGAACTCACTTTTCAGAAAGACATCTCTTTTCGCAAGGAAATCTAGCTATCTAGAAACGAGGAGACGACTATGTTGGTTGTACTTGGCGCGCAAGGTATGGGTCGTTATCATGAGGTAAGGTAAGACCAATGGCTTGATTACGCGGGCTGTGACATCTAACACCATCAGGGCCATTAAGCACGTCATTACTGGCCTGCCGGTCAACGGCGCAGACAAGGGACAATTACAGCGGGATACTCCGCAATTGCCACTTGAGAATCCTTCGAAAGATTCAGCTGCCGGCTTAATCCTCACCCTAGAGCAAGTCGGAATCAGCACACTCAATAATCCATACGACGTTGGGCCGACTCGAGCTAAGGTCATCGAGTCTGGACGCACCCACCACACTGTCCTGCCAGCCACGCGCCCCACGCGCGTCTCATTCTTTGAGTAGACTCCCGCGCCATTCTCAACATGTCGGCCAACTCCCGGCAGGGTCTTTTCATATGCAACCCCTCCAAGCACGAGGTCCCCTAGTAAAAGACTTTCATTCTGGCGATGTCGGGTGCTCCCCGACTTCCGGGGATGCTCGGTGGGAGGGAATCTACCCACAAATCCGGGTATGGTTGACGGGCGGTTCGCATGGCACAAGTCCGAGATGTTCTGGCGCAATCGATAGTGATGTTGGATTTTCCCCAGCAGGGGGTGTCCGCGGTCGACAGCATCCAGCTAATATCTATGGACCAGACCCGGTGACTTGGGTGACCTTGAAATAGAGTTTTCAGTTTTCAACCTGGTTCTTTCCGCCTTTTTAAATCAATTTGAAGACACTTGAAAGTGTGTTCATAGGTGTCTGGCAACCATGGCGACAGCAGACAATACTGTCCCCAGGAAGAAGTGGTGGAAGATCCAGTGGTACTCGGACGATGACACCCCCGAAGAGCGCAAGTTCATCATCAAACTCGATCTCATTGTCGTGCCCTACGCAGTTCTAGCTTACTGGGTCAAGTATATCGGTATGGCCATTTGCTCTCCATTCATTGGCTGTCGGTCTGCTAACACGTAACACAGACCAAGCAAACTTGAGTATGTTCACGACCGTTGATAGCCTCTGCCTCTTCTATCTGGCAACGTCATGCTAATTCAAAACAGACAATGCCTACGTCGGAGGAATGAAGGAGGAGCTTGGCTTCAAAGGCAATGAGCTCGTCGAACTCCAGACAATGTATACAGTCGGCGCAGTTGTTGGCATGGTGCCCTTCATGTTCTTGTTCACTTACATTCCCATGTACTGGACCATCCCCGCGATGGATATCCTTTGGGGACTTTTCACCCTGCTGCAATACCGAGCACACTCATTCGGGGAGCTGGCGGCGTACCGATTCATGGTGGGCTTCTTCGAAGCAGCCTTCTTCCCCGCTATGCACTACGTATTCGGTAGGAGATATCACTGGCCTCTTTTGACTGGAGAAGTAGAATGCTGACCCCAACATAAGGCTCTTGGTATCGCGGGCACGAAATTGCACGGCGAGGAGGTATCTTTTACACGGGACTCAATCTCGGAACCCTAACGGCAGGCCTCATCGCAGCTGGAGCATCACACCGTCTTGAAGGTGTCAACGGGATGGCAGGCTGGCGGTGGATGTACATCATCTGCGCGATCATCACTATCCCTGTCGGCATTCTCGGATAC